ATATGAACCATCAAATAGGACTCTCTAGATACATGAACGAATCCTAATCTAATAATTTGTGTATTGTCATAACATATAATCAAAATTACAAAACACTAACTGTTAAATAATACTTGTACTAAAAAAAAAAAAGTTGAAACATAGATGGTCTAAGAAGTGTGAGTGTGCATATATACAGTTACACCTGATAATTGGAGCAGCTAAATTTTCTGTCCGCTATCCCACAAATTAATTAAAAGGTCATGACATGCATCAACCATTCAAACCCAAAAAACTTGTCATCTTTCCAATTTTCCACTACGATTAGTTAATTGGGCCTGCAAAGGATGCACATGAGTGCAGATGATCATCCCTCAAAGTGACAAAAGAATCTACCAGAGAAAAGATGAAAACTCCGACACCAGAAATGTGGCCTCCTGTTTTGTGGCTGGCTGCCGTGGGGACCAACCCCATCTCCACATTTGTATTCATTGCAAGGAATGCTAGGAAACTCCAAATATAGAAAAAAATATAATTAAATACATTCATATATAAAAACATACGAACAGACCAAGAGATTTTGGTTCGTATTTTTATGGAGAATTTTTTATACGGGGATTAGTGTCTAGGTTAGATGGAAGAATGATTAGATTGGGTTGAGCAAAGGACATTGAATTATTTTTTTGATCAACAAAGGACATTGTCTTGTGATGCTGCATCATCCCCTGGCTCTTTCTGCAGTGCCTTTGCTTTTTTATTCTTGTTATTTTATTCATCACATCATCAAGAAAGACTGCCCCAAAGATTACTGTATCTCTATTCTTACAAAATTTCATGGGGTCAAGCCACATGCCTCACATTAATTCTATTCAACTAGCTCAGGTACTTTCTGTTCTTTAAATTAAATTTCCTTACTTTTTCAGCTTTACCCTTTGATGAACACTAGCTGCAAAATTTAAGTTGATGGTTAATTTGGTGGCAAAGAGGGAAAAAAAAAAAAAAAAAAACTTCCCTCTTAACCAAGGGTTAAAACGTGAAACATCTAGTATGAAGGCTGAATTATGTAGAACTAATAGACACAATTTTTTATTTTGAAGAACAGAAAGTAAGGAATTTTAAAATTAATTTTCTTTTTTTTATTCATCTAAAAAAATTACACAATTTTTTTTATACAATTCGAGACAAATATAATTTTCTCACAATAAAATTTCACAATAATCTAATAATATTGAATGAGTAATTTTATACTAATTTGCATATCCTACTGAATTAACAGAATAAATCACAATTATTATCACATAAAATTGTGGCATTCCATCATAAGATAAAGATTCCAAGTATCATTTTCCCTCAATTATAAATCGATTCGGGCACTGTAGATGGAGTTGGTTAAATTACTTCTTTCTTTTGGTGAATGAGACATTGAAAAGTTACTTGGTAATTTATCAGGAAGTGTACCCTTGTATTTTATAAATAAAAGTTTCATTGGCTATTTTAAAAAAAAATTTATCAAGAACAGTTGTACTCTTAAAGAATAAAAATTGATTTTTTAGCGGTTAAAAAAACAATAATCCCTTGAACTTATATTCAATTTCCTTTTAGTCCTCGAATTATAAAGTTTACAATTAGATCTTACATATAATGTCTTTTGAACTCAAGACCTTTTATTTTAATGAAAAGGAAATCACTTCTAAATCACTTAGATCATTGACAATAAAAGGGATAAGTTATTTTATTTTGTAGGTCACTTAGTCTATAAAGTGTCAACCAAATGTAGGCAATGAAATCTAATTAGGCTATTTCTAGGACATTACCAAGAAATAACCTAAAAAATAAAAAAAGCACAATAAATTTTCACCAAAAAAAAAAAAAAAAAAAATATTTGGAACTCACTATGTTAGCAAAAAAAATTTCAGCGATAATGAGTAGAATATGATATCAATGAAAGGCAAGTCATGGTTTATATATAGATACATAAAAGGATGGAAAAGCATGGAGAAATATCATGAAAGAAAAAAAAAAGATGTCATTTATTAATGACTTGTTAATTCAAATAGAAAAAGTTCAATTCTACTTAAATGA